ACAATTTGGATCTTAAAAGACAGTCTGTATTTTGTAGCAAAGTAAGTATAACTGTTTCTGACTGTTGTTGTTGTTAGGTGCCATCGAGTTGGTACTGACTCATAGTGACCTTATGCACAACAGAATGAAACACTGCCTGATCCTGGGCCAACCTCACTATTGTTGCCATGCTTGAGCCCATTGATGCTGCCACTTTGCCAATCTATCTCACTGGGGGTCTTCCTCTTTTTCTCTGACTTTCCAACTTCCCAAACATGATACCCTTCTCTAGCAACTGGTCCCTCCTGGCAATATGTCCAAAGTATGAGAGATGAAGTTTGGCCATCCTGGTTTCCAAGGAGCACTCTGGCTACACTTCTTCCAACACAGATCTGTGGGTTCTTTTGGCAGCCCATGGCACTTTCAATATTCTCCTCCAACACCATAATTCAAAAGCATCAATTTTTCTATGGTCTTCCTTATTCACTGTCCAGCTTTTGCATGTACATGAGGTTATTGAAAATACCATGGCTTGGGTCAGGCACACCTAAGTCCTCAAGCTGACATCTTTGCTCTTCAACACAAAGTATACCAGATTTGCCTAATGGAATACGTCCTTTGATTTCTTGATTGCTGATTCCATTAGTGTTGATGGTTGATCCAAGAAGAATGAAGTCCTTGACAACTTCAATCTTTTCTCCCTTGATTATAATGTTGTTTATTGGTCCAGTAGTGAGGATTTTTGTTTTCTTTACATTGAGTTGCAATCCATACCTAAGGCTGTGGTCTTTGATCTTCATCAGTAAATATTTTAAGTTCTCTTCACTTTCAGCAAGCAAGGTTATATCATCTGCATATCGCAGGTTGTTAATGAGTCTTCCTCCAATCGTGATGCCATGTTTTTCTTCATAGAACCCAGCTTCTCGGATTATTTGCTCAGCATACAGGCTGAATAAGTATAGTGAAAGAATACAACCCTGTCGCACATCTTTCATAATTTTAAACCATTCAGTGTTCCCATGTTCTGTTCGAACAACTGCCTCTTGGTCCATGTACAGATTCCTCATGTGCACAATTAAGGAATATTCGTACTTCGCAATGTTGTCTATAGCTTGTCATGATCCACACAATTGAAAGCCTTTGCATTTCTGACTAGGTTCCAGTAACACAAATAAGTGTACTGGCTTTACACAAAGCACCTGACTTCTAACTAGCTTGGTGGATACTTCATTTACCTCAACATTCTCTTGAGACATCTGGCTAAAGTGCTCAGATATGCAGCACGCTTTAGAAGTCACTTTTCACATTACTAGCCGAGCATGAGCTATCAGATTCTCTTCAATTTCAATTCCTTAAAAAACAGTCCTTTGATTCTTCATTCTTTTGCAATTTGCCCTCTTACTCTGCTGATCCTGGTAACTCCGATACAAACTCTCATATGGCTATTAATATGTGATAAGTCTTGATATGAAACAATGACTACTAATATGTTTTACCACGCATTTTTTATTTGACAGGACATCTCCCCTTGTTTGTACCAAAGCTATCAAGATAACACATTCATTCATTCTAATATGATGACTACTAAGACATTAGAACAATGCTAAATCTGGGTATATTTTTGTAGTAGCTTGATAAATGACACACACACAGTATTGTTGTTAAGTGTTGTAGATTCGATTCTGACTCATAGAGACCCTGCATAGGGTTTCCAAAGAGCAGCTGGTGGATTTGAATCACGGACCTTGTGGTTAGCAGTCCAGTGCTTATCCTAGAGTGCTACACCAGGACTCCATGTTGTTGTTGTTGTGACGTGCCGTCAAGTCGGTTCTGACCCACAGCTATCCTATATAGGGTTTCCGAGGAGCAGCTGGTGAGCTTGAACTGCCGACCTTTCATTTCAAACGGTTTTGCAGTCTGGCGCATTAACCCACAGCGCTACAGCAGGACTCCATAGACACATCTAATTTGGAGTCCTGGTGAGACGCTGGAATGGGCACTGGACATCGGTTCAAACGGTTCAAACCCCAGTAGCCACTCCTTGGAAACCCTAAACAGGGTCACTATGAGTCAGAACCAACTAGCACTTAGCAGTGATTTGTAGAGACGTTCAGATTAACATCCTCCCCACTTGATGATCTTGTGGGGAAAAGGAGCAGTGGGAAGGCACGTCAGATCAAACATTATAACTAAAGGATTTGTTATTCTCCAGGGTTGTGAAGTAGATGATTATAGGCTAGTTTTAGAAGGTTATTGTTTATAGGAATGTAATGGTTAGGGTTCTGTGTCAACTTGACTAGGCCAGGATTTCCGGAGTCCTGGTTTGGCGCCATAGGATAAGCACTCGACCTTAAAGTCAGTTTGAATCAAGAGGACAGCAGTTCAAACTCACCAGCCACTCCTTGGAAACCCTATGCAGAGTTGCTATGAGTGGGAATGACTTGCTGGCCCTTAACAACAAAATAGATGAGATGTACTTATTCCCATGGTGACGAAACCTAAAACAGGCTATGTTAACTCTATGAGCCAAACCATTAAAAGGATGTTTCCTTTGGGGTTGTGGCCTACGCCCAATATAATGGACATGCCAAAAGATGTCTTTCTTCCACTGGGGACCTGGGACTCTGTTAACAAACTCCTCTCTCTCTATACATATATGGAGTACTGGTGTGGTGCTGTGGATTAATGCGCCGGACTGCAAAATCTTTTGGAACCGCAATGTCGTCGTTTCAAGCTCATCAGTTGCTCGTCAGAAACCCTATACAGGGTCGCCATGGGTCAGAAGCTCTGGTAGCGTAGTGGTTACGAATTGGGCTGCGAACCACCAGGTCAGCAGTTCAAAACTACCAGTCGCTCCGCCGGAGAAAGATGAGGCTTTCTGCTCCTATAAAGATTTACAGCCTCGGAAACCCTGTTCAGGGTCGCTATGGGTCGGAACCGACTCGACGGCACTTAACAACAACAAATACATATATTATACATATATATATATACATGTCACTGGTTTTACTTCTCTTGAAAATCCAGCCTAAGACAGGGAGGTAAACCAAAAAGTGATTTATTACAAAAATAATCCAAGAATGTTTGGGGATATAAATTATCCTAAAATTGATGTGGTTGGGGAGGGTGTGTAACTGCCAAAGGGACACAACCCTAAATTTAAAAACAGTATTAAAAACGAAAACAAAAAACAACCTATTTTAGGAGGCACTCAAGGGATCAATGTACCTGCTGCATTTCTAAAGGAAACCCACCGTCTGCTAATCTTTCGGCCCACAGGGCTCCTATAAGACAGAGCAGAATGGTTCCTTCGGGTTCCGAGACAGTTAATCTTTTCAGAGCAGGTAGTTGCACTGTTGTTGTTAAGTGTTTCCGAGGAGCAGCTGGTGAACTTGAACCGCCTACCTTGCAATTCAAACAGCTTTGTAGTCAGGCGCATTAACCCCCAACGCCAGGGAACATTTCTCAGCTTTCTCGATTTAGCCCACCATTTATCTCACATCCCTTAGCGCCTTGTCCATGCCTATCACTTAAGCAGGATGCCACAGAGACGCTAAAAAACGGAGTTCATCACTCTCGCCTCCAACAAATTTACAAATTTCTTGCTTTCCCAGAATGGGGCAGGGCGAGCAGCCACCCAATCTCCGACCTCCTCCCAACAGCACCAGCTCCAAGTCTCTTCTCCAGACAACCCAGTCTTTGTAGCAAGAGAAGTGAGAGTCCTGGTTGGTGCAACCTACGTTTACGTCACGCATCAGCTCACCTACAATTGGTTGGTAGAGAGACCATAGGCACAAACGCCTAGCCTGGCTAGGCTAGGGAGGTGGGGTGGCTGATCCTGAGACTCGGCTTTTCCTCCATTGGTAGAAGGAAGGTTGTCACGTGGTATTGGGAGGCTCTCTATTGGCTGTGAGAGATACCATGGGTCCAGCGATGTGGCCTGGTTGGCTGGAATGACTCCAAGCTTCTTCCTAGAGGTCCCAGCTGGCTGTTGCTGAGGTGTCCCTGGTGTTTTGGGTTGCCTCTCAGGGCTCCGCTCTCCAGGTTTTTCCTGCGCCCGGAGCTGACAGGGCGTGGGAAGAGCACGACTTCTGTACGGTTCTGAAGCAGGGCGGGGCTCCAAGGAAGGTGGCTGGGATTCGCGTTCATGTTACCAAGTGTGGACCTTGTTCTCGTGGTGTCTGGCTGCAGCTCTAACAGCAGTAGGCAGGAAATGCTGGTCACCTCGACCTCATTGTCCTGACAGTTACATCAAAGCTTCTTTTCCTAATGTTTATACAATCTCGGAAAGAGGCTAGAGAAGCCCTGAGGAATCGTGATGGATTGATGGTGGCAGGCAAAGATCCTCACTTCCATCTCTTTCAGTCCTTGTATTAGGTTGTTCTAGCGCCTCTACTATCACGGAGCTGCCAAAACCTAAGAATGGGATTCTTAGACTCTGCTGGCGGGCGAACTGGGCATGCTCAGTACACAAGCTCCAGCGTTCGATGGGGTGTGCGGGTGCGGCATTGTGGTTGTTTATTTAACCGCGGGCAGCAGCTTCAGCGCTGCGGAGAGCCTCCGGAGTGCGCGCGCGGCTGGTCTCCTAGGCGACGGAGGGACTGGGGCGGGGCCTCATAGCC